ATATATATATAATTGAAAGACCGCACAATTTCAATCATCATCATCATCATCATCAAAAAAAACTTATATCATATTTTTTTGTAAAAAAATATTTTTATACGTTTTATTCCAAAATACTCGGCTATATTTGGGCATGTCAAATCTTAGGATTAAGGACTAAGGTGTTCGCAACAGTATTTTGAAAATTAACTGCCATTTCTCACCTTTTGAACAGGAATCACAACTTACGAAGTGAGCTTCTTAGTGGCTGAAATAGGAATTCAATATATCATTTATTCATGTAGGACATTTTAGGCGCTTATCGTCAATGTTATACATTATAATTTTAATTTTTTCCCTACCGTCCAGTTCATTATATAGATCCAATTGAGAAGAACTGGCAAGAAACACAATTGAATTACTTTTTTTTTAAAAGCATTATAATTTTATGTGTTTTTATATATAAAACATTAAAAACACACCTATTACCAACAAAAACTACCGTAATATTCAAGTTCATTATTTTTCATATGGCTATAATTATTATTTTTTTTACACAATTATATTCCTGAGTATTCATATATATCAAATTAAATTGAACTACTTTCCAAGTTCTTTTATTACTTATTTATTTCACATTATTTCGTTTAGTTCATTTTATTAAAAAAATATACAATTTATTCAACCTCGAACATAGCTGAAAATCAGTGTTTTTTTTGAATTCTCCACACTGAGCTATGTTTATTTACTGTTATATTGTATATTATGTTGTAATTAAGCCTGTATGTGTGTAATAAGATACAAATAAAAACTATTATCTATCTTATCTATCTATATTTATATAGGTGTCCATGTCTTACATACATTAAATGAAAATCCAGTGCATGAACAACTATTGCTATGCACGTTCGTCATTCAAGTAATCGTTTAAATATGATTTAACAGATGTTTTAAATTTATTTAAAAGTCATTCCAACATATCCTTTGGTATCTTATTGTGAATTATTTATACCTATTCCCATAAAAGACCATTATTGACTATATTGACCATATATTTATACCTATTCCCATAAAAGGCCTATTGACTATTTCTAAACGATACTTGGGGATAGCAAGTTTGTCTTTAAATCTAGTATTAATATTATGAATATTGCTGTTCTTTGGAAATTAGTCAAGATTTTTATGAACATATGGGATATGTAATAATATTAGGAAAGAAAACATTTTCTTTTCCATGGATTGACCGTGCAGGTGCCGGGTCCATAATATGGCACTCCGGAATATGGAAATTCCGAGCAGTTCCCGATACTTGTGACCCGGGTGTAGGTTTACGGGGCGTCTTACTTTCAGTGCTGGTGTTTCTCCCCTGCCTAGCCAGATCTAGTAGGAGCCTGCTAGCGTAGTTTTAGATACACATTCTAGTATAGTTTTAGACAAGGTAAGATCTCTTAGAACAGGGGCGGATTGTGCATTTATGGGACCCTGTACTAAATCTACTTAAGGGCCTACCACCATACCTAATTATATATTATTACTCAATTAAAAAAATACACCGACCAAAATCGAGCGACCAGAAATTCCCCGTTCCTTTCGATAGACGCGCATTTACATGTGTTGATTGATCTCAGGGTGGCCAACCTTATGATAGGATTTTTAACATTCTATATTTTTTATATTCTAAATATCGTTAAGTGGGAACTGGGGCCCTTTGTATCCTCGGAGCTCTGGGCTGCAGCCCAAAAAGACCTTAGGTAGATCCGCCCCTGTCTTAGAAGGTTGTAGAGTGCAGGTTTTCGCTGGTATACCTTTCATTTCCACTTCGACCCCATATGAAGTAACCACATAAGTAATTTTAGTTATTTCGTTTATTAAATAATATAGTTAACAAAATGTAATAATACAACATGATAAATTTGATAATATTATATTTAAATTCATTAACTTAGCTATCTAATACATATTATAACAATAGAATTATAAATAAAATGAAACGTTGCTACACAATGTAGAATGTATAATATTTTCAGTTAAATTCGAGCATTTTTCAATACATAATTATAATGAATATTATTTACAAATAGGTTATTTGTTTATTGGCAACATCCAAATAAAACTAGTAATGGTTTATTTGAATTATGATTGAAAGTGTTCAAGTAATAAAACACAGTTAAATTCTTTGTTCTTTTTACATAAAACTGGCTGCTACCCGCAACTACGTCTGCACGCAACTTCATCCCTTATTTCTCTCCCTTTGGGTTATTTTTTAAGGTAAAATATAACGTATATCCGTATGATATAGTCTATATTCGTGTCTTGAATTAAGATTAGTTTCCGCACAGATTACAGGCAAACAGGCAGACAGACTATCGTATATATAATTTTAGTATGGATTAGTTTTTGAACTATCATAATCTGGTGGTCACACTATTCTCCCAAGTTTGAATTTAAAAATTAATCAGTATTATTGTAAACATGTATAATATTAATTTGAAAAGAATACGAGCTGAGTTTCTTTTCAGTTCTTCTCATCTCGAAATCATTCCGAACTGACGGTAGATTTGACATATCATAAGAGTCTGTAATAGACCTACATGAATAAAGAGATTTTAAATATGAATTATTTATTTGGTATTATAGCATCTGTATTTTTATAGGCACAAATGTTGTATATATAACTGTATTCATGAAAATTATAGATGCATCTAATATGTAGTTATTTTTCTTTATAATTAATATTATAAAAATAATAATTTAAAACATAAAAATGTGTGTGTTTGTTGTCTATTAGAGCATCAAGCGATTGTCATGAAATTTTACATTTTAGAATTGGAGCAGAAAATAATAATATGCTTTTTACCGGTTAATCAAACGAGCGAAACTGCGGGTAAAAACTAGTTGTTCATAGAGGAAAGAAAAAGTAGAAATATTTTATACATAACTAGCTTTTGCCCGCGGCTTCGCTCGCGTTAATTTATCCCCTTAGGGGTGGAATTTCTTAGCGGATGCGTACGTCATAATATCTACCTGCATGCCAAATTTCAGCCCGATCCGTCCAGTGGACTTGATATTCAAGACTTTATATAAATTCATTGCCAACACTGTGAAGAAATTATTATTGTTTTTAAGTTACGTTCCTTTTTTTTCCATATTCGTCCATCTCCTTTTCAGTGATGGAACAGGCAAAGATCCTTAGACCGTACAGCCTAGTCTACGTTTCAACTTCTTCATATTTGAACAAGTGATGAGGCCAGTTACGTTCCTTTTTAATAAGTTCGTTAGAACAGAGAGACAACATTTGACATTTATTATTATTTGACATTGGACATTGACTTCAATTTTTGTAATTTATATTGTAAAACTTTAAGTTGGGCTGAAAAGGACTTGTATCCAGAGCCGTAGAACATATAATATTAATAAAAAAAAAATATACTTGATTATCGAAATTAAACCTTCCGGACAGTGTCCATTAGGATTTAATTACTCTAACACCATATACTAGTAAATATAAACATAATATTGAAGAAATTCAATGTAAGAAACGTGGAGAGAATGGTTGATACAACAGCCTACCGAAATCCTTAATGCTAATAAAATTTACATATTTGAGATCAACATCAACAGACGTAGACACATTTAAATATAAATACGCTTATAATATCACATTTACTTTGGTACACAATCCATTTGTAAGTGCCGTTAAATGTTTCTTTTCAATGGCTGGAAGCTAACGCCTGAAAAAATTGGCAATTATTTCACTTACTCTGTATATTACAGAAATATATATATATATATATATATCTATGAATATAAAATTTCTATAACGCCATAAAAAGGTAATATAGCATTACGCTTTGATCTGGACACTTTCCTTTAAATAGTTTTGCATTTTTAATAAGAAATATAACTCACAATTGTACGGTATGTGGAAAAATTGAAGATTTTTTTCTTATTGCTATGGAATCTGCACGGAACGAGGCCAAAAGACGCGAATTGGTACCTTCTATTCCAAATGGCATCGGGCTCTGCATTAGTACTCTCAATAACCCATCGACTGAAGAGGCCATCAAAATTATTAATATACTCAAAGTTGGTATTAAAGAAACAAATGTACCATGATTTAGATATAACTACTCGCCCCGATTTCGCCCGGGTATGTATGGCATGTATTATATATATAAACCTTCCTCTTGAATCACTCTATCTATAAAAGAAACCGCTTCAAAATCCGTTGCGTAGTTTAAACGTAGGGACAGATAGCGACAGCCGCGCAAAGCCGGGGCGAGTAGTTTTACCATAAGATATTCTGCCGCTGTTATCCGTATTAGTCCCCATATAAATATACTCTGTTATGAAATCTTATGATACATAGTGCGTGTTGCATCTGAATGATGCGCAATACACCTCATATACCACTGAATATCTACTTCAACATTTTAGTTTCCTGTTTATAAGCTTTCACATATCATCAACATTAAAACGTAGTATTATTAGTGTTATCTATAACAAGTTCGCAGGTGATAGCGGCTGAAAATACATCAGCTGGTATTACCTATGTGTTTATTGATAGCGATCAATGAAACCTACAGGACATTGTATCAACAAATGACAAACTTAATCATAATAGGTTTATCGACTCTTGTCCAACTTGCGACCTTGTCCAAGTAAAAATATTAAAAATTTCCTATGTTTATAAAGGCCAGAGATATTCTAGATTCTATGACATGGTACATTAAATCACCAAATTTGTTCCAATTCGTAAGACCGTATGTTGAATAGAAATTACAAACGTATCTTAAGTCTTATTCAGAGGAATATTTCCACGCAAAAAATTGCCATGTAGATATTATGCAGCACTCGTTCTATCTCTATTTAGAGACCTTGCGTCTCCCCTCACCTAAACGCAATAGCAATGTTTTCCGAAATTTTGCCGTAAATATTTACGTTCCGTTCTATTATGTTTAGTACTCTATTATGCAATAAATTTAAATGTGTTTTTTAATTTTTATGAAAAGACATTCTACTTCCAAATTAATCTTCCAAAAAATTTAAATAAATTTTAAAAAATCTTGCTCACTTTTTCAAATTTGTTTTAATTCTGTTATGGATAGAGTGGCGAACTATTCTCAAACGGGGCGTACTATAGTGGTTACAATATAACCATCATCAACCCCACTCTGTCCTGGATCTTAATCAATTTGCCACGGTGGAATAACTGACTTGACTTTCTTATCATATCCTTCAGTAATGCTATCTACATCCTCATCACGCATTAAAAAACCTTTAACAGCACTCACAACTATTTCTACATTCCAAATACGCAAGTCTTTAATATTCTATTCATAATGAGCTGACTAATTCAATATTCTCATTTATTATGTTCTGCGTCCTCTCGTCATCACTGTCTCCATCTCTTTCTGTTTCTCCTTCATAGTCTAAGAGAGTGAATTCTGTGCGGATGCTACTGCTATCTTCGCTATCGTTAACATTGAAATATGTAACTGTAGCATAGCAGACTGGTGCTCTAACATGAGCAGCAGGGCTGCTCCTAGCTGAATCGTAGGCAGAATCCGACCTTGTGCCGTCGAAATTAGAGTCATTATAGTTATCTATACTCTCGTTCCTGGAGCCGTAGCTATTGAAGCTGTTGTTGTAAGAAGTGGTCTCGTAGGAGTCGCTGGCGAGTCTGAGAGGTGGTAAGGAGATTCTGCAAGCGCAGAAGCGTTGCAGATCAATTTCAGAGCGAGCGTCAACTGTCCCGCTGTAGGATGGAGAGCGCATGAGAGCTGGTGATATCCGGTTGCGAGGAGTCTTCCTGTTCTTGTTTCTTTTGAACAGTTTAAAGGCCTGCAACAAAACAATAATATTGTTCATATATTTTATTATAAATAGGAGTTTCATTGTATTTGATGGATATTGTATTGAAAATGTAATGCAAGGTTTCGAGTACGATATTTGAATGTTGCAATGAGTGTTAGTGTTATCCTTACTAGTGTTATAAATGCGAAAGTAACTCTGTCTGTCTGTCTGTCTCGTTTCGCGCCAAAACTACTGAACCGATTTACATGAAATTTGGTACACAGATAGTCTAGACCCTGAGAAAGGACATAGGCTACATTTTAATGCGAATAATTGAATTGGTGCTAATCGGTGGTTTGTATTCACACACTTAAACTTAAATTGTAAGTAAGGGTTTCTTGCTTGTTCTTCTTGTGATGAGACAGCATACCGAATGAGCGGTAGATTAAAAAAAAAAAAAATGTTATGACTATTCAAAAGTGTCTAAATAAAGGGTTGTAAGGGGTTAAAAGGGGAAATAAAGGGCTCTATGGAAGTATCGTCATTTTTAAAACTAGAATCTTGGACTTATTTTTAGGTTGTTCGTTAAATATAAATAAAAAAGGATTAAGTTTGTAAAATTGTTACCCTTGAGGGGTTAAAAAATAGGAGATGAAAGTTTGTATAGAAAATCGTCATTTTTGAAACTACAACGAGGAATCTTTTTTCTTTGCCTTTTTTGGGTTAGATTATTAAATATTTTTTCTATATTTGGTCAAAGTCACTATAACACGCGGACGAAGCCGTGGGCACAGCTAGTTTTATATATATTACTTTTTATTAATATTATAAACGAGAAAGTTTGTGAGAATGGATAGATAATAGGATTTTAACGCAAATTTACAATAACATAGCTTATACACCAGAATAACATATAAGCTATAAAACTCACGCGTGTAAAACCGACTGACAACTAGTATTTTTCAAAATACAAATTATTTTCTGTTTGTAAAGAACATCCTGTGGTTAACAGTAATCCATATAAACACTTTTAAATATTTTTTTTTATAACCATTTTTTATTTATTGAATTTATGATTTTTTTATATTTTTAGGAATATCATTATCATTACATAGCATAAAACAAATTCACTGTCACTGTCCGTCCCTATGTATGCTTAACTCTTAAAAACTACGCAACGGATTTTGAAGCAGTTTTTTTTTAATAGATAGAGTTATTCAAGAGGAAGGTTTATGAAGGTGTACATATATTATACCAGTATAATATACCCGTGCGGAGCCGGGCGAATAGCTAGTTCTTCATAAAAGGAAAAACATGTAAGAGGTATTAGTTAAATTAATACATCGATGACCTTGGTGGTATAGCGGTCCAGCACGCCGCTTTATGTCCAATGGTCGCGGGTTCGATTCCTCGCACGGCACAAACATTTGTATTCACGAGTATGATTGTTTGTATCGGTCTGGGTATTTTCTATGTATGATATGTATGTATTTACGAAAAAGAAAATATCTATGTATCTGTATCAGTTATCTAGTACCCATAACACAAGCTTTAGCTAGCTTAACTTGGGACTAGATGGCGCTGTGTGTATTGTCAAAAAAAAATACAGGTATAAATTGTTTAAGTAATACCTGTCTGGAATTTATGTATATATATACCTATATATTTTATATTTTTTAATAAGTAATACTAATAATAATCTCAGGATAATTCACACAACGCCATCTAGACCCAAGTTAAGCTAGCTAAATCTTGTGTTATGGGTACTAGACAACTGATCATTTAGATCATGGATGCATTTTTTTATAAATAAATACATTTTATACATAAAAAAACACCATATTATATAAACTTCATATTTGACAAATAGTAAAGTGAACAATTTTAATACCAATTTCATAATTTGACGTGACATTTCAGAATTATTATTCAGTTAATGGGTCGCATGGGTGATGTATATTATAAAAACAATGGTAGCCATTTCACTCAAGGTTACAATTAAATGGAGTACAGGTGTCCTTGAGGACTTCATGTTTTTGTGTGAAAGTACAACGCAATTGGCTTCGTTATCGCAACTCCTAAACCTTATCAGTAATAATCTGGATGTATAATTTTTATAACAAAATAACAACTTTGTTATGAGCAGCTGTATGTTAACATAATTTATAAGGAATCTTATTAATATTATAAACGCGGACGTTTGTGAGTATGTATGGATAGTTGGATGGATGGATGTTACTCTTTTACGCAAAAACTACTGAACTGATTTTAATGAAACTTTACAATAATATCCTTACTAATATTATATACGTGTAAGTAGGGATGTTTGTTACCCTTTCACGCAAAAACTACTGAACCGGTCATCATGAAATTTTGTACACACTTGTTAATCTGGGGCTAATTCAGAAAGCTGTCTCATCATAAGAAGAACGAGCAAGATACTTGGGTGATGTTTTTTAAACTATTGTTGTAATTTTACATTTTTAAGTTAAATATTGTGAATACAAACTACCATCATCATCTGCTTCTTCCTTATCCCATTTATTTGGGGTCGGCGTAACCCTCCGATCGTTCCCCCGTTTGAATTGGATGGGGCCTGGACGGCCTGAGCCGAGGTTCGAACCCCTAGTGGTGCCCTCAGACTAAAGTCGTATCCGTCAGGCGGGAGTTGGCCTTCAGCCGCTCAATAAGTCCTTCCGCGGGTTTGGAGTGTCATCTGCACTCGCTCCCTATGGTCCGGTGAAGCTGTAAAGGCCAGCTGCGGCCAACAGCATTAGAGTAGTCCGAAAAAAAAAGGGTCGGCGTATGTTATTCTCTTCCATTCATCTCTGTTCGCAGTCATCTCGTTATTTACTTCCTTTGTTACCATATCATCTTTCACACAGTCCATCCATCTCTTTTTCGGCCTTCCTCTGCCCTTATAACCATCCACATTCATATGTAATACCTTTCTTAAAATATTATCCTCATTCCTACGCATTACATGTCCATACCATGATAGACGATTACTCTTCAACCTCTCTGACACCGGTGCCACTTTCATACATCCTCTAATGTATTCATTCCTTATCTTATCCATTCTTGTCACACTACACATGCCTCAACATTCGCATTTCAGTTGCATGCACTCGACGTACAATACAAACTACCAATTAGCAGTAGAGACAAAATATTATTCAGAGACCAATAATAGTCGACGCCTGACATTTATTGCTATTATTCAAATGGCCACTGCTATATAAGTCATTTGTATCTTATAAAGTTATCAGTTTTGATGGCCAATCAACCTACTTCCATAACATAAAATCACATTCCATAAAGTGTGAATTAATTGTCATTGAGAATCGCGCGCCCAATTGTTCATGTCACATAACTCGAGATAACAATATGTCATATAGTACTTACGATTGGGACAACAATTTTATATACATATATATACATTATATTAAAAAAAAATATTAAATATTCTCTGTAGTTGACACACTAACACACTTAGTCAGCGTGGAATTTAACTTTATTTTTCTAAAATAAAAGTAGCCCACGTACTTATTATATTAGCTACCTGCCAATGAAAGTCCCGTCAAAATCGGTCCAGCCATTCCAGAGATTAGCCGGAATAAACAGAGACAGACAAAAATTATAAAAAATTGTATTTTGGTGTATATACCGTATTTATATTCATATGTATGTAGTAAAAAATGGTTATTTCAATATTACAAACAGACAGATTTTATTTATATATATAGACGTATAGATATTTCATAAATTTTATTATCTAATAATTCTAAATATAACTCCTAGCTTTTAGCGAAAAATTCATTTATTGTATAAAAATAATTGAACAAAGTGAACTTTATTACAGTGTAACAACATGATTATTATTGATAATTTAATAATAATAATAATCATCTCAGGACAATTCACACAGCGCCATCTAGACCCAAGTTAAGTTAGCTAAAGCGTAAATACATACATAATACACATAGAAAACACCCGAACCGATACCAACAGTTATATTTATGAATACAAAGATTTGTGCCGTGCGAGGAATCGAACCCGCGACCATCGGACGTAAAGCGGTGTGCTAGGCACTAGACCACCGAGGTCGTCAGTAATTTGGTAAGAAGGTTGCGCGATTAGGGCCAATAAAGTTGGTCCTAATAATTGACAACCAAACTGATAACGGGGTCGTGGCCTTAGCTCAATGTCGTACGCCAATACCGAATTTATTATATATATATATGTACGTATGTACTACATCGAACCACAGAGTAAATATTAATAAATAGAGACTAGACACTCCATCTGCCGAACATAGATCTCAGAACTATTTAGAAAGTTTATTGTATTTACAAAAAAAATGGGTTTAGGAGGTCCTCTCAATTACAAATACCAACCAGCACAAATTTTTTGGGTCAAATATAAATTCACACGTTTCGACTTGTAAAATGTGAACTTATAAGGATTGTTTAAAAGAGCAACACACAAGTTTCTTGCTTATTCTTCTTGTGATGAGACAGCTTTCCGAATAAGCGGTAGATATAAAAAAATGTTGACTATTCAAAAGTGCTTAAATTAAGTTTATTTGAATAAATGATTTTCTATTCTATTCTATATACAATAAGATTAAATCAGTCGTAGTGATAAGAGCAGACCAGTCCCTACAAACAGCACTCGTTCACGAGTATGACGGATGAGCCAGTTTGAAGTGCACATATATACATAAATAACATTAAATCATCTGTAAATCAGAGTACTTCCTCGATACGTAATGTTTATTACATTATGAGTACTTTTCACATCAAACGACCTCCGCACGAAATAATATTTGGATGTGTGTATAATCATATATTGCTTCTACGAAATTTGTAACGAGAAATTTGCAATGCCCACTCATATTCGCGGATTAAACACAAAAATTATTAACTAGTTTACTATTTATTACAGCATACAGTATAGAGCACCAAGAGCGTGTTGCATTATTACAGTTTTGCACTCAAAAAGAAACTGGAAATAATTTTAGGTCACTGTAAGACCACTTCTTAAAA